ACTTTGACAAAAGTAATTTCAGTGGAGTTGTAGAATCTCCATTTGGAGAACAGGGGAGTGGGTTGTAGCAATATGTCAGTTCAGACTATTAAAACCTAAAAACTTACAGTACAATACTGGGAATACTAGCTAATTGTTACTTTTAAAAATCATACACAAATCATGACTGCAGCAAGGGAAAAAAATACCACAAAAAAAGAAAATGAAACTGAATACTTAAGATTAGTTCAAAAGCTAATGGTATAATGGGGAGATAAGTAAAGAGAGAAAAGTTAGCATTTTAGTAACTAAAGGGTTACTAAGTGTGATATTGAAACAAACCTGCCAGGGGCACCTGGATGGCTTAGTGGTTGAAGGGTCTGCCTTTGGCTCAGGTCCTGATCCCAGGGTCCTGGGATGGAGGCTCACCAGGCTCATCAGGCTCCCTCCAGGGAGCCTGCCTTTCCCTCTGCCTATGTCTCTGCCTCTCTCTGCATGTCTCTCAAGAATAAATAAATAAATCTTAAAAAAAAAAAAAAGGAAAACAAACCTGCCACTTTTCTGCCTGCTTACAGAGCACTTTCTTATTCTCCAACCCCTTTTTTGTTGTTGTTTTTCTTTTTAATGTTTTCATACACAGGAAAAGTTTGGGTGAATTCTGAATATTTTTTCAGAGCTCTGACTTATTAGCTCCATTCACCTATTTATTATTTATGGCATGGAAAATGGTGATCACTTTTTAATTAACCACTCATATCTTATCTCTACTACCAAATGGTCATAATTATGCTTTCTAAATTTCTAAAACCAAATCTGACAAGGTCTGCACTTCTTTAAAAAATCCAATAGAATACTATCATGTTCAGGTTAAAATGATAACTTGTTAATGAGGTGGCTCCCCCCACTACCCTGCCAAGTTCAGTTCCCTTAATTTCACCAGAGCATCTTATTCAGCCAAATCAATTTGCCAACATCAGAAATCACTATGTATCTCGGCTTTGGTTGCTACATTTGACATAAGGTCTTTTTAAGTTTTTCTTCACCTAGACCCTCTGATAATCAACCTCACCTTTTCATAGTTCTTGATTAAACTCAAATTACTCCTTAAAATATTTTCTGACTGCTTTTCCCTCTTTCAGGCAGGAAATCCTTCTCTAGTCTTCCATAATGCCTTGATCTCCTTTTGTATAGTAACATTTACCACACTTTGTAATATGAAATTACCCTAGTAGACTATTATCTCCTTCAAGGTAGACATATTCTTTTGAGCAGAACTTAAAGTCAATAATAAACATTAAATTAATAACTAAAAATATTCAGCATTCATTCACTATTTTCACATGTTAAAACCGGTCTTAGTTGAAATCATTGTTCTGTGTTCACTTATTCTTGAATCTATCTTTGTTTCCATTCTTAAAGTCATTTCTTATCTCTTACGTGTTTAATTCACTTCTTATAAAATATGTTATTTTGAAAAACTTTTCTTTTTTTTTTTTAATAGAGGGAGGGGTAAAGGGAGAGGGAGAAGCAGACTGCCTGCTCACCAGGGAGTCGATGTGGGGCTGGATCCCAGGACCCTGAGATCATGACCTGAGCCAAAGGCAGACATCCAACCAACTGTTCCCCAAAAACCTTCGGTTGAATTTAGAAAAAAAATCCACATTAAACAGCTTTAAACAATAATAAAAGTCACTGATAACAAAATTGCAATTCTGATAAAGAACATGCACTAGTGCTATAATGTCTAATTATTCAATATGGCAAAAATTACCCTGTTTGGGGAATCTTACTGATATAAGTTGGGTCACATGTCAACTTCTGTTGGGGGCATACAATGCAACAATCGGCTTAGGTGTGGTTTCTGAACTAAGTGTTTAGGAGGGACATTGGCCTAGAATCATGAGGGGCCAATTTTCACTCTGGGCCCAGGTCACTACCAGTTCTCAGTCAGTGCCTTTATTCTAAGCCAACTAAGAGAGCTTGGTGGTGTTATTGGAGAGGTAACACAATGTTCACTATACACGATTCTTCACTTAAATCTAAAATATTTAAATATATATGTCTGGATTTTAAAAAAATTGTATGGTGATGGATGGTAACTAGACTTATGGTGATCATTTTTGAGTTATATAAATATCAAATTATACATCTGAAACTTATACCAATTTAACTCAACAAAAAAATGCATTTCTTTAAAGTGCTGCTTTTAAACAAAATTGATGCTTATCACTTCTTTTTGAGGTTATGTTTTTCCAAAAATATTTAACAGGGAAACAGAATTAAACTATACACTTTATCATATAGATAATTAAAGATTTTATGTATGTATGTATGTATGTATGTATTTAATGTATTTAATGTATTTATTTGAAAGAGAGTGAGCAAGAGAGGAGGAGTGGGGAGAGGAGCAAAGGGAGAGGGAGAAGCAGACTTCCCTGCTAAGCAGGGAGGCCGACTTAGGGGTTTATTCTAGGATCCTGGGATCATGGCCTGAGAACAAAGGCAGATGCTTAACTGACTGAGCCACTCAGGTGCCTCCCCTCGCATAGATTATTATTTTAAAATCATTTTGATATGAATGGTTAACAGTAATTAGCTGACTTTAAGAAAGTATCTGCAAAATAAAGACATGCACTTGCTTTGGAATGACTGATTCTTGCAAAATGTTGATTATTTAATGCATATAAAAAATACAAGTGAAATAGGTGTAATGTTTTTTCATTTCTGATTTTCTCTCACTTAATAAAATTTTTTCTCATATTTAATTTGAAGATGAAAGATCATTAAGGACTCAAAAGTCAAGCATTATAAAATAAGGATGAATTCAATAGAATATATTAAATTGGAACAGTTTTCATTCAAGATATTTTGATAATTTGTTTCTTCCAGGTAAGCTTGTTTGTATGTTAATAGCAATGGTAAGTCATTATAAAACTGTTACTTTACAAAAATAAATTTTTCCAATAAACTCACAAAAAAATCAATTTGTGCTATATTTAGTGATTTATAATTTACAAAGTACATTCACAAAGTCTCTCATTTGCTTCCTATAAAAGCCCATTTAAGATAAGTTGGCAGAATTAAATATCAAATGATTTGTAGACTGCTAAGCACTGCTTCTAACAAATTCCTAGATCTCTACAATACCAGTGGAGCTTGCTGGTCAGAGTTAAGACTTACAAATGTTTTATGATAATAGCATTTTGATAAAAATATACTTCAGGTTAAGCTCAGGAGTAATGTAAATTTACCAACTTTACTCCCTGAGTTCCTGGTTTTGTAGTAGAAACAAATTATTATTTCACATTGATTGATGAGAAAATGGAGCTTCTGAGGGATTAAATTATGTAAGATAACGATAAGAGGAAGCAGAGCTGAAACTTGAATTTAAACCATTAATTCTCCATCTAGAGTTCTTTAACATTCAGCTTTTTACCATCACATCCTTTTATGGCCCTCATTTATGGGTTTGAAGAGGATTTATTATTCTGTCACAGACAAAATCACCAGACAAACTTTGGCAAAACCAGGAAACATGAGTGGGCTTCTTTAATGGTAATACAGGAAAGAGCTAGAGAAAAAAATAAATATCAAAGGTATGAGAAAATGAAAAGGATTATTGCAGATGGATCTAGGTAGGGGGTACAGAGCAATTAAGCCAATAGCTCCTACCTCCTCAATTATAAATTCTGCCATTAGGGAACCTCTGCTACATCAGCAGAGAACAAAACAGTGATTCCACTTCTATACAGCTTCCCTCTAAGGTAGCTTCCCACTAGCTGTGAGTTTAATGGAGGACAGGGATTTTGAGAGACTTTTACCAAGACAGTGTGAAACTACTGATTCCAGACTTGAAACAGTTAAAAGGGAACACACCCTAAGACCTATGACCAGAATAATGTTCACTATTTCTACCCCATGGGTAGAAATTCCCATGGGGAATTCCTTGTTACCTGGAACTTCTTAATGAGAAACTGACCTTTTGCCTCAGACAAGATAAAAGATAAATGCCATTGACATGGCAGTAAGTAGAAATATGATCCTAGCTGAATATAAACATACTGGAGGAGTGAAAAGAGGTTCAAAATATAAAATTATAGATAGAAACTGGAGTAAAAAAGGTAAGGAGAAGCAGTTATTTCCTTCTCCTGGTTGTGCATAATTGACCTTAGGATTACTGGGGCAGAAGTCAAGAGGCAGCTTAGTAAGTGTCCATTGGATTTTTATAAGAGGGAAGATATCCCGGTATACTAAATAGGGTCATGAGTTGAGCAAATATAACAATGAGAATTCCTCATCCAAATCCAATACCCAGGTCAGTTTACATATTGCCCTAGGGGCCTTTAATGAAATAGAACCTGGACATTCTTTAAGAAGAAATTTGCAATTATTTTATAAGCAGCTCCTGTGAATCTGTCTTGTCCAAGCTTTCTTTAAAGAAATCTCAACTCATTCAAGACAAACTGGCAGAGGGATGCCTGGGTGGCTCAGCAGTTGAGTGCCTGCCTTCAGCCCAGGGCATGATCCTGGGATCCTGGGATCGAGTCCAATATCGGGCTCCCTGGATGGAGCCTACTTCTCCCTCTGCCTATGCCTCTCTTTCTCCCTCTCCCTCTCTGTGTGTGTGTCTCTCATGAATAAATAAAATCTTTATTAAGAAAAAAGATAAACTGGCAGAAATAAATATCTAATGATTTGTAGACTATTGAGCATTGTTTATAACAAATTTGTAGATCTCTACAGTATCACTTAGCTCACTGGTCACTGAGATTTACAAATGTCTCATGATAATAGCATCTTAATGAACATCTACTTCATGTTAAACTCAAGAGGGATATAAATTTACCAACTTGTTATTCCTCAATTTCCTGATTTTGTAGTAGAAACAAAATTTGTTTTGCTTCTTTGAGATCTTCACAATGGTTTCCCATCTTGTGAAGTCAATATTATAACTGAAGAGAGAACCAATTAACACTTATGACCTTCTCCCTACCTAAATAGCAAATCAAGTAACAAATTACCATGTTTCTGGAAGATGGCACTGACTGGTGCCAGTATCCAACAAATTAGAGATGCAGGAGTGGCCAGCCTCACTTTCATTTAACTTTCTTGATTGGATTCATGGAAGATAGATAGTTCCTAGGGAAAGGGAGAGGAATTTATTAGAAGTTTAATGAGTTAGTGTCTCCAATTACATATGTTATTCCATATATAGTCTTCTTACTGGTGTAATTTAATACAGGGATTTTTTTTAATCTCCTATGAAGCACAGTGACTTGGAGAATTACTTTCCTGTTCTTATAAATGAATGTTTGCTTTTACCTGACAAGAAGACCAGTATACCTTCAGAGTCATAACTCTCAAATACATCAATTCTGCAGCATTAAATCATATTCAGAATGAAGTGTCTATGAAATGTTTTTTGATCTATTGCACTGATGATTTCATGTTGGTATGTCCTAAAGTTTAAGAAGTACAAATGTCCTAAATTGCTTGCTAATATACATATGTATATAGAATATGTATTATCAGAAAATAAAAGTGTCTTTCAATTAATTTATCAGTTGTGGCGATCTGAATAATGCTAGGATATTTTCTCTAAGAAGAATAGTAAGTTATTGTCTCTTACATCTCTATAAAAACATTAGCATTGATAGATCTCTAGACTTTAGAGAAAATATATATCTTATTTGGGTTTCTGCTTCAGCCTGCTGATCATGTGTACTCATAAGTTCTCTGTTTGAGTGGAGCTCATAGGAAGGGGAGTGTTACATCTCAGTTCAGGCTGAAGTATTCACAAAACTGTCATTGGCTCCTATGTCCCTGCTGATGTTTGGTTTAAAGAGTGCATGGTGGTTATAAATTCTACACAAATTCTATAGAGAGCCACTGTAATTCACAGAGTTTTACAGCAAAGCTATGTCTTCTGGAGCAAGTTATTGCTTTCCCTGAGAAGTAGTTTTTGCTCTGTAGGCATAAACTTGATCATGAGATATCAGGAAACCAGGAAAGCTGAGTTCCCTTTCATGAATTGAGTATAATCTGGATGATCTAATCAAATTAATTGAATATGCCTATCCACCATCTATTATTGGGTTGAGTGTTATAATCAGTTTTTGGCTGGAGGAGGTCCTGAAGGCACAAATAAGTTGCAGAAGCATGTTCTGCTTCTCCACATGCCTACTTGTATCTTACTGACATTCCTCCCTCAACCTATATCTGTGGTCCTCAGGTAAGACTCCTATGTTGTGTTGACTAAAAGGAGAGTGTTATAGCTAGTCTAAAAGTGATATTTATAGCTCCATCAACTAAGGTTGCATACACAGTGCCCCTATAAATGCAGAATATGCTACCCTTATCTTATTTCTGAGAAATGGCAACTCTTTAACTTAGGCAGAGCATAACTTGCAATGTGTTTTTCATAATGGCCCAGAATTATCATGATATGTTAAACCAACTGGTCATGGCCTGCCCAACTATTAGATCAAGGGGCTTCTGATGGTCTGTGCAGAAGAGATATAAGGAAGTTCTGCCATTGGTTAAAATCTAAGCAATGTAAATTACTGTCCACTTTTCAGGTGAAGGCAACGTTAGTAAGAACAAATATCAATCTTTATGCATTGGATCAATGGTTTGGCTAGAGATTCAGAGACTTTGAAACAGATTCAAGAAGTTAGAAAACTGTTAACAAGAAAGTTTGGTAAGATATAATGGGATAGAGTATAGCATATAACCAGAAGTATGTGGGAATATTTACATAACATATGAAATTTCAGCCCACTTTTGCAGAAGCAAAATTAAACAAAATGATCTGTTCCCTCGATATCATACAGCCACCTCTCCCTAGTATCCCACTTGCCAAATGGGCTCATGAAAAGAAACAATAACAACAAGCACATAAGCTATGTTTGAGCTCATACAAGGACTTTACCTCAGCAAAAATGAACCAAATATCACTCTTTTGGTGCAACCTTTTAGTAGTATTGACACCAATATTTTCTTTTCTTTTTTTAAGATTTTATTAATTTATTTGACAGAGAGAAAGAAGGAGAGAGAGCAAGCACAAGCAGGGGGGCAGTTGAGAGAGGGAGGAAAGCAGACTCCCACGGAGCAGGGAGTCTGATGTGGGGCTTGATCTCAGGATCCTGAGATCACAACTCCAGCTGAAGGTAGATGCCCAACTGACTGAGCTCCACCCAGGTGCCCTGACCTCAATATTTTATCATACTTTATAACAGCACTGAGACTTTCAATGCAGTTTGATTACACTGGATTCTTTTCTTCATGGATGGAGGAGGAATTTATTTTGTCTTATAGAAAAACATTCTTTAAATTTGTAGTTTACTTCCCTGTCATATTATCTGCCAGTATTTTTTTAAGATTTATTTATTTATTTATGATAGACAGAGAGAGAGAGAGAGAGGCAGAGACACAGGAGGAGGGAGAAGCAGGCTCCATGCCAGGAGCCCGATGTGGGACTCGATCCCGGGACTCCAGGATCGTGCCCTGGGCCAAAGGCAGGCGCCAAACCACTGAGCCACCCAGGGATCCCCTCTGCCAGTATTTTTATTTCTGGATTTATTGAATGCCTTTTACAATCACGACTTCCACCAATCTGATCAAGCACCGTATCTGATCAAAAGAACTCCAGAAGTTCATGTCTGTTTCTTCTTCTACTTTATCAGGATAAGGAGCAGCAATAATCAGATCAAAGGTAGCCCTAGACTGTGTGGTAGGGGAAAGAAAAACAATAACTCCCTTGGACTGGAATTTTCTCAATTGCTCTTCATAGGTCTTTGGATATGAGAACATTTCTTGTTTCCTTTTCCATGAAACCTCTCATGCATCCCAGGAGATGGGGGGGGGGCAGATTCTTTCCTTTCAGGAGAAGGCACTCTCCCATTGCCTCTGACCATTTATAATGAGGAAAGCCCAAAGAGTTAGAGGTAGCTGGTAAAATTATTTGAGGCTTGTTTCTAGTTTAAGCAAAAAGGAACATTTTGCTTACTTATGAATCAAACTTGCCCACCAGGGAAGAGGACCGGGAAGAGGACCAGGCAAAGTTCAAAGATCCCTGGTTAAAATGAAGCACATTAATTTCTTGGCATGGCCCTTCCACTGGGAATTTTTGGTGATTACCAGCAGTTTGTATAGATTTAGGGATGCTCTGTCCTAACTATGTAAGTCATACAATTTCAGTGACAGATAATACAATTTATTGTCAAATCCACAACTCAATGTAAAGGCATACATTTTTTTTCATAAAACATTTACTAATGGTTGTTGTAAATCACAAAGATAATAAACACAGCTGCAATAGCCAAATGTATAAGCAGCCACTGGAAACGAATGAAACAAGAAAAGACAAAAGAATGTAGCATTGACCCTTCTTTTCTATCTGAACCAGATGAGATCCATTTCACCATAGAGGTCAAAACCAGTTAGGGTTTTTTGGTTGTTTATTTTTGGCTATCCTAATTCCTTAAACATTTCTCTCAAATACAACGCGAATACTATACACTTTTCAGTGTCTCCTAGCTAGTTAAACAAGTACATCAAGGAATAAGAAGGTGAAAGAGAAAGAGGACAGAGCACTGATAATGGAACACTGAAAAATAAGTTTGAAAAGGAGAATGTGCTTTACAAAATGAATTTATATTGTACCAAATTGCCTGTAGGTTTTTTCAAAATAAGAACATACGTAATTTTAATTAATTTAGCACCAAGTCTATCTATCTAACCCAATTACAGAAATGCTATTAACTATTTAAATAATGAAATGTGTTTCAATCTCAAACTCCAACAGCCTATTTTATAGGTTTTCTTCTTCTGCCTTTCTTTCTCTTTTCTTCTCCCTGAAGGTGTCTTCCCCTCGCTCCTTCTGGCATGCCAGCATCGGCCCCTGTCCTTCCAAGGTGCAGTTTCTTCCTGTCTGTCCATGGAGACCCATACCTTTTCTTTGCCACTGCCTTCCCTTTCTCTCTCACTCTCATACTCTTCCTCCTTCACTACTCCTCTTTCCCCCTTTCAACTACTTTTAAAAAGTCACATTATTCTCTATTTCTCAGAGGAGGATGAGTATGAGCTATTTGGGGACAGAGTACCAAGAAAAAAACCTTTAACCTCTCCTCACCTGAAAATAATTGAAAATCTTCAGGAAATGACAGTATTTGAATTGTATTTTATATTGAGGTTTATGTTAAGGTCAGCAATCTCGGCTGAAGTTTTTCTTGCTTAAGGCAGGAGAATAAAAATGCCAACCTGTCACATGTCTTTGCTTTGAATATAATCTTAACTTACCTGCATTTGAGATATTCAAATTGCTTAATATAAGTTTCTAATTAAACTGTTCCAAGTGTGATGCATTTTTGATTGTGTAAAATCATCTCCATTTCCTGGCATTAAATGTAAAACTATTTCTGCCTGTAAGTGTCATCCCTTCTTTTTCTACAACAGAAAACATAGCTGTCTATCTTCTAGGGGGCACTTTCCCTGACGTGAAACCTGGAAATGAAGGTTTTATCCTTATCTACTGTGTCGTATTTAAATTCAAAAGGCTTTCCAGACAGCTATATAAAGAACATAAACTTAAAAAAAAAAAAGGCCTAGGTCACCAACTGTATTTGAATGTTATAATTACAAGTGACAGAAAAATTTCATGTAACAGCATTCATGATGATGCCAACTTTTGTCATGTAGTGAAGGTTTAAATACCATTAAAGCATAGTATGCATACACTGCTTCATGATACTCATAGCTCCCCACAGAAAATAAAAATAAACACAAATACTAGCCTGGGCTCCATCATCAAATCCGGGTGGCAGAGGCTCCGAACTAATTCAGTGCAACATGCTTGAGCTAGCCATGGTTTAAGCAAAACTAAATTTGAACAGAGACTTTTTCTACTATTACCTCTGCTACCTCTAATATAAGCTTCCACCCCCATTACCATTCCAGCACCAATAAAATACACCCCAAAATGGGAATGACTGCACAATTTCCCAAACACACAAAGAACATACCAATGCACAATATCGATATAGTTATTATCATCTTATGCGGTAAACTAACTTTACCACGTTTATTCAGTTTAATAATCTAGAGATATGAGGCAGAAAACAATGATTTAATTATGCAAA